CCCCCCCCCCGCCCCGTGTCTCTCTCTCTCTCACACTTGATTGATTTTCAAGCTTGAAAGATAAGTAAATCCAAGTTATGTAGACTTAATAAATCCCAAAGCTGCAGTGTAGGCAAGTTGCCTACCCAGGGAAGAGCTGCAGTTTGAATCCACAGACAATCTGCTGGCAGAAGCAGAATTCCTTCTTGCTGAAGGAAGTCTTGTCTGGTTCTGTTAAAACTTAAGCTGATTAATTGAGCCTACCTGAACAGAGTCCACTAGTTGAACTGTTAATTTTATCCATTAAAAACACTTTCATAGAAAAAAAAAGAACAACAACAACAACAAAACACCTTCATAGAAATATGCAAAATTACGTTTGACCAAATATCTGGGCACCATGGCCTAGCCAGGTTGATGTGTAAAATTATCCATCGCATCTACCAAAGACGTTGTCAGGTTTAAATGTGGCAGCACATGTAAGCACATGCAAGGTGCCTGGAACATAGAGGGAATTTAAGGAACTTAATAGGATAAACATAAATTCCTGCTCTACCCTGTCCTAAAATCACTCTCCATAGTGGTTGTTATGCACTTCAGATCTACCCAAGTGCTTATTGCCATGCTCACATCTCTTCTGGAAACTAGTGGTCAGTCACCTGTACCTGATTCCTATTTAACTGCTGATCAGAAATTCTGCTAGAAGTCTGTCTTAGCTCAGCACAGAACTAGTCATGGCTACTGACTGTTGCAGGGCCTTGCCACAGCTCCTTCCTTAGTTGCTGTGGTGCAGTCACATGAGTGGGTGCAGCTGTTTTAATATGTGCATACCCTACACAGTTCTGCTTTTCAGTTCCTGCATTAGTTTCTGCCTTGCACTTTTGCCACTGTGCCCCTGATGTCTGCTAAAATGTAGTTGTATTGGATCCCTTGAAGGAACATATTACACTGTTCTTTTTCTGTCTCTATTTTTTACTCTTTTTGTGTTAGTCTTCTGTCATGGTGACATAATACCCTGAGATAAGCCTGGTATAATGGCACATGCTTGTGATCCCAGCACTCAGGAGGCTGAGGGAGGAGGATTGCCGTGAGTTTGAGGCCAACCTGGACCACATAGTGAGATCCTATCTTTAAAAACAAAAGCAAAACTGAGATAAACAAAAGGAGGAAAGATTTATTTTTGC